TGATTCCCGTCCCCCATCCTTGTGCTCGATGCCCCCCCCTCCCCTTGCCCTCTTGTGGGGGCCACACCTGTGCTTGAGCCATCACCAGCCAGGGGAGGGACGGCCACTGCCCATGGTCCCTCTGGACTGTGGACTTCTCCCAGGGCCAGGGGTGATGACAAACATGTCACTTCTGTGGGAGCTGCTGCTCCAGGGGCCCAGGGGGGAAAAAACAGAACAAAACCAAAAGTGAAGGGAGCAGTGGTGGGGATAGCGCTCTCCAGGGTGCTGATTCCAGCATCGCTGGCCTGGCGCTCTCCAGGGTGCTGATTTCCAGCATCACTGGCCTGCCTTGTGTTGCTACTTGTGGCCTTTGGGGTGTTGCCCCTTAATTTTCCTGGACAAAGAGGCAGTCTTCCACACTCCTGGAAGTCAGGGGGGACCCAGCCTCAAGACCCCACCTCTGATGCACCCCACAGACCACGGACTCCCACAGGAGGCCGAGGACTTGTGGAGCTCGAGCAGTGCTGCCCACAGGCATGATGGCCTCCCACCTGGGATGCCCACTCTGACCTGTGCTCCAAGCTGGTTGCCAGCGGCCAGAGAGAAGCCACAGTCACCCGGTGGGAGGCGGGGTCCGGTCCTGGATCAGTTTCCAGTTCCCTGCTTGCTTTTCTGGCTGCGCTGCAGCTCTTGGAAGCCTGGGCCAGGCGCTCTGGGCTTTTCTACACCTGTGTTCCCCCAACGCAAGCCCAGCTCCTCCCAGGTTCGCAGACAAGTTATCGAGGTCCAGCCAGGGCCAGCCAGGGCTCTCAGCCCAACACACAGGGAGGTGTCCCCAGACTGATCCCTGCTGCCCTTACGAGGTCCTTCCTCATGCTGCACACCCCTGCATTTCCTGAATGATCCCTTCTGAGTCAGCTCACTGCCCTGTCCTCCCAAGAGATGCCAACCCCAACCCCCAACACGGACAACACCCTCTTCTTGTTTAATTTCATTTTGAGACCCAGTCATGCCATGTAACCCAGGCCAGCCTCTGCCTCAGATCCTCCTGCTTCAGCCTCCTGGGTGCTGGGCTTACAGCTGTGCAGTCCCCACTCGGCAGACAACTTCTGACAGGGTAAGGAACGTTGATTTGAAAGTCACCCCTCCCTCACAGTGGAGGGAAAGAGGGGTGAGTGTACTCCCCAAATGCTGGGTGACTCCCGTGGGGCAGGCTGGGCAAGTTATGTCCAGGAAGAGAGGATGGCCATCGGTGCCTCAGGAAACCCCGGTGCTTTGCAGCATTTCTCAGGCCAGTGTCAGCTTGGGTGCCAGGCGTTGCTTCCCTGTCCCCAGAGACTCCCTGGGCCACCCAGAATCCAGTAGGAGCCGAGACCCAGCATCGCCTCCTAGTTGTGTCCCCCACCCACCCACTCAGAGCAAGGACTGAGGGCAGTGCGGGCACAAGGCACAGCTGGACAGCTCTGATGCTTCAACCCTCACGGAACAGGGACCTGGGAGCCAGCCCAACCCCACCGGGATCCTGTCGCAGCCATAAGTGATTCAGATGGAAAACCCTCACAGGGATAACACTCGCTCTTGATTCTGCAGCTGCCCCTGAGCTGGGGGGGGGGCATGGCTGCACGCTCCGCCTCATGGAGGCCCTGAGGCCAGGATGAGTTCTGACCCCCACTGCACTGGACCGAGGTTCTGCCAGGCACAGAACAAGGACATGGATGAGTCTAGAAGCATGGTCTGGGCTCACGGGCACCCACACAGCAGGGCAGGGTGGTCGTGAGGGGCAAGCGGGTGAGGCCAACAGGGGGAACACCAGCCTCTGGAAAAGGGAGCACTGAGGCCTCCTGTGGGGAAGGGGGATGGGAGGCCTAACGCCCAGGGCGCACCCTCCTCCCGGCCGCAGGCCGCCACGGCGATCCCGTGGAGGAAGAGGGCACCAAGCATGCCTCTTGGTCTCTGAACTAAAACACCTAGGACCTCCAGGCTGAGCCTGGCCAGGACAGTTGGAGTGCAATACCGCTGTGTGCACGAGTGCACACGCCCCGCTTGCTTGTGCCAGTTCACACCTCCCGGAAAGCACAGATGCTGAGGAAGAGTAGAGACTTAGACGGTTTCACTTCCAGACAATTGCTAGTTGTGCCTAGATGTGGGATTCCCTGCTCCGGGAGGCAGGGTGCAGGGTGGTGAGGGGAGGAAAGGCAGAGGAATCACCATTCTCTGGGGGACCCCGCAGGGGGCCGGCTGCATAGGAACATCCCCCCCCACCCCCCGCTGCTCCAGGCCCTGACAAGCTGGAGGAACACAGGGACGTGGTACGATATGGGCTGTCAGGGCTACACCCCTGCCCATACAGCCAGGCCACAGGGGCCCGCGCACTGCTCCCCTCCTCTGGTTCCAACTTGTGGGTTCTGTGTCTGGAGTGGTAGGAGACAGCTTCATCGGGGGTTGGGGGACCAAAGTCACAATGTCAACCCTGCCTGAGCCCAGGCACTGAGGAGCGGCGCATGCCTGGCATCCTGGACACCTAGGCTGAGATCTGAGGATTGCAATCCAACGCTACCCAGCCTTCTAATCAACCACCAAAATCCAGAGGTGGAGCCGTGGCTCAAGTGGTAGAGCGCTCACCTCAGGTACACAAGCTCAGGGACAGTGCCTGGGCCTCTGAGTTCAAGCCCCAGGCCCTGTGTGCACGCACGCACGCACGCACACACACACACACACACACACACACACATGCTAATCCTGCCTGATTCTGGCTCTTGTGCTCTGGGGACGGGGGGACCTTCCTGCTACAAGACAGAAGCCAAGCTGGGCACTGAGGCTGCAGCCCCGCACCCAGGGCAGCAGAGGCCGAGGCCCGCCCATCTCCTGCGGGACACCTCCACCTGTGGGCACCGTGGGAGCATTCCGCCACGTGGACAGAGAAACCCAGCCTCCTGGATGGGTTTACTGTCCCTCGAGCAGCACCGCCAGGCTGCGAGTCACAGCGGCACAGTCCGAGTCCCCTGCGTCCAGGGCTGCTAGCAGCTCGGCTGTGGACACACCGTGCTAGGGCGCCTGGGGTGATGTGACTGGGCTCCATTTGGGGCCAGCGAAGACTTCTGTGGCTTTGCTCTTGTCCGTCTCCCCTTTCACACCCCCCCAGGACACACGGCCTTCTCTGTTTCCCCCAACCTCCACCCCGAGGCGCCTTCCCTCCCCGCTCCCTGCAGCTCCTCTCACTGACCACGGGAAAGGAAGCAGCTGACAACGGGGTCACGTCGTCCGCCAACAGCCAGGAGACCGGGGTCTGGGAGAGGTCACCCTGGTGTCCACTGGCAGAGGCGGGGAGGGAGGCTGACCCCAGGACACCTCCACCCCACCCTGCAGTGGAGGCCGTGGCCACGGGGCTGCTGCACGGGTCCTGTCAGCACTCGACCTGTTCCATTTGTGTTCCTCTACCGAGGAGGCTGGTGACTGAGCAGGGGGAAGCGGGGGGGGGGGGGGGGCAGGGCAGGCATACGGGGACAGTGCAGGTACATGGGGGTGAGAGCAGGTGGGGGAGGGCACAAGGCAGGTGTACAGGGGGCAGGGCAGGTATATGGGGGTGGGGGGGTATGCGGGGGCAGGGCAGGTATGGGGGGATTGGGCAGGGTGGGACACCACCTTCCTTGGCTAGTCTGGATCCTCCAGACTCCGGTGGGCTTCGGTTTCACGGGTCTGGGGAGCCCGGCGCCCCCTTTCCCTGCTATGGCTCAAACCCTAGTGACTGTGCTGGGAAGCGCTGCCCCCCTCCCCAGAGGGGCCGGCTCCACGGGCCCCACGGGGCCGCGGGGAAGGCTGCAGAGGTGAAGTGGAGGAAGACTGGGTGTGGAGCCCGGGCTCCAGGTCTGAGAAGGCAGTGGGGGGCTGGGGGCACGGAGGCTCCCCTCTGCCTCCCCCTGCAATCAGATGGGAAAGACTGGGCGCCAGGGCGCTGGGCGTGAGGGCACAGGGTGCAGCACGTGGCTTCCGGCTGCCACGGAAACAAAGCGAGACACAGACCTGAGCTGGCAGAGCTGCACGGGCGGGGGCTGATGGGGGGCCAGCTGGCAAGCTTCGGCTAAGGTGGGGGGGGGAGACTGGGGTCCCCTGTCCAGTGTCGGGAGAGACAGCCTCGCCTGGAGCAGGCAGAGTTCGGTGGCCTTCAGCTCCTGTGGGCTGAGCTGGCCAGCATCTCTCTCGGCCACCGGAGGGATTGAGGAGGTGCGGGCAGGCGGTGCAGGTGCTGTGGCATCCTCCTGTGGACATGACCTCATCCCTTATTGTGACAGCCAGCAGGTAACCCAGCCCCGAGCCTGACCCGGCCTGCAGAGCCCAGGGCCAGACCCAGCTCTGTCCGATCTGACCCCACCTGCTTCACCCTCTGCCCCAAGACGCTGTGATGCCATTGGGGAGGCAGGCTCAGGCCCCGCACGCGGGCGCAGCTCTGTCCATCTGTCTGTCTGTCCATCATCCGTGGTGCAGGGGATGTCCCACCTGGTCTCTGTGTGTTGCTCGTTTTCTCGGACGGTGGCCAAGGGCAGAAAGCGGGGAACAGGCGCTGTGGGCTGGAGGTGCTGGTGCGGGCAGCTTTAGGGCAGCAGAAAGCCGAGTCAGGGGTCCTGGCTGGGTGGAGAGGGAGGCTGGGCTGGGCCTCGGTGGAGTCTGTGGACCGTGGGGAAGAGCGAGGTGGGAGGGGCGCCGGTCACCCCCTCTGTCTTCCCGCCCGTTACTGGGGGCCACAGGGAGGAAGTAAATTTATCTTCGGAGCTTGGCGCTCCGGGCTCGTTATTGCATTAGGAAACAAAACCATTAAAGCGAGAAGAGCCCTTGTGCGGACACCCGGAGACGGGGTTGGTGGAGGCCCAGGTCCAGGCACGGTCCCTACAGAGGTCAGAGAATGGAGGACGGAGGTCAAGAGCAGAGGGCAGAGGCTCTGCGGTCCGGAGGTCCGGCCCCGGTGTGCGTGCGTGTGCACGGTGAGCGGGCGGGGTGGATGAGGACGCTCCGTTACCCGCTCCGCCGTCTACTCCATGCCGCTCCGGAGGATCTGGTTGGCTGCGATCAGCATGACGCTGATGATGAAGGCCATGGCAAAGGCGCAGATGAGGCTCTTCCGGACGCAGGTCTGCCGGTTCTGCTTCTGGGAGTGGACTGGGGTGGGGGAAGGATGGAGGGGAGGGGAGGGGGGAAAGCGGAAGGAGAGAGGGAAAGGGGGGGCCGGGCAGAGTGCCCGGAGGTCAAGGACACAGGGATGGCAGGTGGGGGAGAGATGAGAGAGGGCACCGTGAGACCAGAGACCTCATTCACTCCGGCCTTGTGGACCAGGATGCGTGCCCTGGCAAGGGGAGGGGCACACCGTATGGCCTTGGAGATTGGGAGAATCATGGTTCCAAGCCAGTCCAGACAAGAAACTCACAACCCCCCTCCCCACATCTGAACCCCGACTTGGACACTGTGATTTGTGAGTGTCCCTTGCTGTGTGTCTGGGATGACAGGTAGGTGCCACCACACCTGGCTTGGTGATTGAGATGGAATCTTGGTAAGTTTTTGCCTGGGTCAGCTGCCTGGAGACCAGGAGAGAGACAGAGAGACACACAGAGAGACTGCAAGATCGACTGGGGGTAGCACACACTCTTCAAAGCCACATCCCCAGTGGACTTCCTCCAACCAGGACCTGCCTGCCCCAGGGCCTTACACCTAACCATGAGCCAATCAGAGATAGATCCATGATCATTAGTGGTGACCTGATCAGTGGTAGATCCACAGCTGTGACCCCATTGGTGGTAGACCCACGGCTGTGACCCCATTGGTGGTAGATCCACAGCTGACCCTGCCGATGGTAAACCCACGGCTGTGACCCTGTCGGTGGTGGATCCAATGGTAGATCCATTGCTGAACTCAGTGTCCCTGGGTCCAGCCACACCTGTGTCTGCCATCTGCCGGTGAAGACCCATCTCCCACACAGGAGCCCGGGGAACGCTCTATATCCAAACATTTGCTTTGCAATAAAATATAAATTACTAAGTAAAATAAATAAAAATAGGTTGCCAAAAGACCAGGTCAAGGGGTCCACAGCCCTCAGGTCACAGAAGATGTCCTTCTCCAGGATGTGTTCAGTCTCCTGCACTAGTGGCCAGTGAGGCCACTATGTTTTCAGACTAACAAAGCTTCTGGGACAAGAAGATCAACAGACCCAGCACCTCCCAGCCAGGACTGCACAGATCTGGGCCCCTCCTGGCCCCTCCTCTCCTGGCTCCGCCCCCCCATCTCCGCTCTGACAGGCTCTGCCCCCACCCAGCAGGAGGGCCCTCTCTGCCCCACTCCCAAGCTTGATCATTTCCCTCCTCTCTGAGCTCCCATCTTGCTATGGCTAATCCTCCTGGATCCAGCGGGCCTGTGGGCGCTCGGGTGATTTCAGAATGTTCTGTGGTTCAATCCTGCACTTACTGATTAGTGTCTTAAGTTCTTAGCTAGTGGTGTGGAGCCAGTTTCTCCCAGGAGTGAGCAAGTGTAAAATGACGCCAGGTCAGAGGATGGGAAGGAAGAGAAGGGAAAGACAAAGCAGAGGGGAGAGGGGTGCAGAGGCGTGTCCTCACAGGGCTACGGGGCGGCTCCCCGCACAGCTATCTACCCCCTGCAGCCGGAGGGCTGACAGAAGCTGTGGGCAGACAGTGGATGGGCACGGGGTGGGGGGGGGCGTGCAGAAGCTCGTCTGTGGAGAAGACACTTGGAAACACAGTGAAGGACAATGCTATGATCCCTGGAGCGCCAGCTGCAGCTTTGATCTGCACATCCTTCCGCACAGGAGGAGATGAGAGGAAGCGCCCAGAGAATGCACACCCATGGGGCAGTGGTCTGAGGCTCTTCCCCGTCCCTCCACTTATGTGCCCAAGGACACGGGGCATGGGGCCCATGTAGGGCGGTGAGGATGAAGGACCTGGACAGGCACTGGACACTCTGTGCTCAGTGAACAAAGGACACACAGCCCACGCAGGGGCTCCTCAGGTGAAAAGATATTAGAGGCTGGGCCCTGGGCTCCTGCGTCACGTGCAGACCTGGCGGGAGCAGGGTGCTGTCCTGACCACTGAGCGGCAGAAGGCAAGATTTTCTGGCCAAGGCTGTCGACGGGATGTGAGCCCGCAGCGTCCTCTCATACCCACATCCCCAACTCCTACAGGAATTGTTGACCTTCTGCTTAGCAGCAGAAAACCCTGCAAACACTTGGTGTGGTGGCAGAAAGTTGACCTGCCACAGATCCATCTGTTTCTTCATAATAATTTAATGATTAACTGTCACCTGCCATTCTGAATTTGCAGTGCATCGTATTTTTGTGTGCTCCTCCATTCTAAGGTCTATTCTGTATCTCCCCAAGAAGGCTCTAGGCCAGCTTGGGATGACGGTAAGTCAAACATCTGATTTATTTACCTAACTGCTGCCTAAGACTCTGGCCCAGTGACTGAGAATCTTCTCTGAGCCTGTTTTCCCTCTCTGCCACGTGAGCTGATGGTAACTGTACCAGTCACTAAAAGAATTAACCTGAAGAGGAGTGAGCAAGTGCAGGTGAATGGTGGATCACGTGGTCAGGTGCTGGAGCCAGAGCCATGCCAGGGTTCATTGCTATGCCCAGAGCTGGGGCCATGCCCTGCTCCCTTCCTCCCTACCTTCCCTCAGGCCCTGTAGACCACACATGTGCCTGCCCTGCCTCCTACCCACACCCATTCGGCCAGAAGAAGCACAGCCAGACTCTCTTTCCTAGAGCACTGCTCAGTGGTCTCACACTGCAGAGGACCAGGACCCAGGGGCCAGGCTGCCAGGGAGGACCACGGGCCCGCTTGTACCTGGCCCACCCCGCCCAGGACCACAGCTCCCCCTCATGCCCAGCCCACCCCGCTCACAGCTCAGCCCCGGGCGGCGTTCTGTGTGCTCACTCATATGTGGGCCTGCGTGAGAGTTCATGACCACCGCACACTGCCATGCAACTACCATACCACCACCACACATCCACACGCAACCACATGGGCCCCCAGGCGACCACCACACACTCCACATCCTGCAGATGAAGAACGTGAGCATGTGTCTGTCTCTGTGTTACACACACACATGAGCATGCACATGCATGCACACACATGAGCATGCACGCACACATGCACACCTAGGCCTTGCTCTAGGGCCCCACTCCACAGCCCTGCCCCGAGGTCCCATCCCATGTTACCCTCCTGCATCTTCCCCAGAGCTGGGCTTGACTTCAGCAAAGCCAGGGCTGGGTAAGCTGGGGGCAGTGGTGTGGGTGACCCCGTGCCCTGGCGGGCACAGGCAGGTGGCCGGCGGTCTCAGCATCCAGGCCCTCCACAAGGTCACAAGGCTTCAGAATTCATCCTGACCTTCCACACAGCCAGAAGAGTGTTTCATTTCTTTTTCTCTCTTTCCTTCTTTTCTTTTTGTCAATCATGGGGTTTGAACTCAGCACCTGGGCGCTGTCCCTGAGCTCTTCAGCTCAAGGCTAGTGCTCCACCACTCTGAGCCACCGCATCACTTCTGGTTTTCTGGTGGTTAAGTGCATATAAGAGTCTCATGGACTTTCCTGCTCAGGCTGGCTTTGAACCACAATCCTCAGCCACCTGAGTAGCTAGGATTATAGGTCAGTCCTGGCGTTTTGGCTTTGGCCATCAGGGGCCTGTCCCTCCATTCCATGGAGAGTTAGGGATGCCGGCCTCTCAAGCCAGGGCGAACAGGGGAGTCGGACCTACCTCCTTCGAATTCGGTCTGGCAGTTCCCCGCGGTCTCGTTGAGGCTCTCCTCCTCGTTGATGATGATGTTCTCGATGTCCTTCATGGTCAGGTGGTCCCGGAAGGCGTGGTAGAGGATGTGCTTCAGCTCCTCCAGTGTGACTCTCTGCATGTCGAA